CTGTTTGTAATCCTTATCGGGCACAGCGGTCGGGGAGATGCAGCGAGCATACGGAACCGGGACCAAAGAGGGTCAATAGGGTCGGGACAAAGCCGGACATGCTGAAAACCTCGACAACAACCAGTTTCACCTGACGCTTAGAATTTGAGAGTAACCTGCTGGGGAACAACAGCAACAACAACAACAACAACTCCCTGCAGATTCATAGGAGTCAATGAAAAGCCTTGAAAACGGACTGACTGACTGTACCAATTTCCTTCAGTAGTTTCAGGTGCGCATGTCACCAACACTTTCTGGAAAACGTCGGGAAATGTTAGAATTATGGCCGGACCCTTGGAGATCCTCAACAGCTCAGGATCACCACGGGAGTTAGGCAAAGGAACATACAGTGGTTTCAGAGTAGATGGCACAATCCCTCCAAACATCTTGGGGGATTGTGCCATCTACTTCTTGAAACCACTGTAACCCTCTAATCCTTCAAGAGACCTTTGGACTTCACCATCCAGAGCTATCGGTCCTTTAATCATAAATATCAAGCCTTGGACTTCAGCCAGTGGACCAGAGCTATCGGTGCTGGATCGCCTTGTTTGATTGCCCAAAGGGGGATTGGCTATCTGTGTGTGTGTTGGAATGTGTTTGGAATAGAATTCTGGAACATCTCCAACAAATGCACATCAAAAAGGAACCGCTACAATTTTTAGGTCTGTGAATGTCCCTCTCCGCGGGCTGTGCATGTGCACATGTCATCACCACTTCATTGGTGAATGGCGCTGAAACGTCACACCAACGACACGCCGCGCGTTGGCGTCCAAAGCCCCTTGCCGCCCTCTCCCTTCCGGGCTACGAGGAGACGATCCTTGGCGCGAGCCTCGGGTTGGCAGAAACGCCACCCCACAAAAACCAACTACCAGGACACCCTAATTAAGGGGCTTCCTTCCATTGATGGCCCCTGTCCAGGGTGTCCATCAAGCACCCCGACCGTGCGTCCTGGTATAGAACTGGTTTCTTTCACCCCAAGCTATGTCAAACGCCGCCAGATGTGCCGCTTCTTCGCGGTCCGGGATCGACCGGGTGGATCGGGTCCGAATCGGCCGGACGCAAGGCTCCGCATGGGTTTTGCGGCTGACAGGTGAGGATCAAACATCGAATCAAAACACACAACACCAGGGACCAGCTATATAACAAAAATGTGCATGTCTGCAATTGGATCTTATAAGACCTTGTCTCTGTATACTATACCGGTCCATTCACCACGATCTTCACCGAACAATCCGCTTCCCTCGTCCGGAACTCCCAGGCGCCGTGAACTCGTCCAGCAAGCGCGCGGCCTCGTCGCGTCCGCCCTCGTCCAAGCGCGTTCGCAAGGATCTCAGCTTCTCTACCTGTGGCAGTTGTTGGAGGAAGCCGAAAGAAACGTATACGGGCAAATGAGTAAGCAAGCTTCTGAATCCGCTTCACTAGAGCGAAGTGGACGACTTAGTCAGCTTACCTACGCTGAATCAAGCCTTTCACCAAATCTTTCGTTTGGGGTGGTCCTGCCCTCATATCATTTTACCCTATTTTACCTGGTGCTTGCTTGTTCTAGTCCAGCTCGTCAACAGTAAAAGTGTGGGGACACAACACCTCAGGCTGGTGTAAGCCGAAGCAGTTCCCTCTTTGCGCACTCATAGACATTCCAAAATGCAGGCTGTCATTCATTGTCAAACACAATCAAAAACATAGATTTTGCAAAGCACGCTGCCAAATAACTAGTATGCCTTAGTATGCCAAAGACTGAATTTTGGTTGTGAGTACTTGAACCCTCCCGGAGCCATGTACCAAGCATCAACCATGTCCAGCCCGTACCGACGTCACATGACGTCCTCCCACCTCGTCCGGCCGACCCTCCAGTAGTTGGTTCAAGGACGTCCGCTGCTGCTGGGCCAGGCGCAAGGAGGTGCTCAAAGCAATCTCCGTGATCTTGTACTTCCTTCACATCTTGGGGAGACGAACTGGGGGGCACATCTCGGAGATTCGAAAAGAAGAACATGAACGCCGATATAAATTCATTAATTCTATATACCCAACCGGGTATAGGTGTCGGGTGGGAAAAAGAACAAGCACGGTTGGTGCGTTCCGGCTGGTTGTCTTATGGTAAGCTTCGAGCTTCAGGAAGTGCAGGAAGTTTTGGGGCGCTGTGGAGTTTGTCAGGCATGGCACTGGACCTGGGGTTACCCTCTTCAGGGGCTCCGAAATACATCCTGACAAGGTGGGACTGAGGCGGGTGCCAGGGGGTCCAAACACCTTCTGAGACTTGCAAGTCCCAAAGAACAGGGCCGAATGGCTGGAAGTTCTGGAATCGGCCCTGCAGCCCTTCGGCCTCTAAGAGATCTTAAACACGTGACCAACTTTCTCTCCAACTCCTGGGCAGGTCCCCCAGGAGTAAAGACATGGCCACTCACCTCCACCTCCACCCATGGCCACATCCCATGGCCACTCCCCTCCACCCCGATCTTGTCTCATTTAAAGCCACATGATGGGCGCAACCAAGCGCTTGATCTGCGGAGCGCACTGCTCCAACTCCTCCGTCAGCTGGGCCCTCAGAGCGTTGGCCAGCTCCACTTGTTCCAACTGTCGTAGCCAAACATTTCCTGAAAAAGGCTGAGACTAAGAACACTGAGAAAAACATGCACAGCCGAGACCATGCACATCTGATCGCATCTGCATGTTTGATAAGATTTGGAAATTTGGAGTAGCAAACCCTGGGGTGCGTCAACAAGCAAACACCTAGTCTTTGATCAATTGGCCACTCCTCAAAGTGACCAGTCTGAGCTTGTTGCTGAATCTCAAGACATCTCAAGACTATTTGACCTGTGTTTACCTATGCGAAACGAAGTCTGTACGAAGCAAAGTTTGGTGTGCTTTTCTCTACCCGCTATGATCCACCGTCTCATTGAGTTGTTCTTAGGGCCGTCTCATTGCAGCAATGTGATGAAGCCCAGGTTCTTCTGTTGGTCCAGTGTCTTTCGTTCTTGAGGATGGCCTTGGCATAGGGTTTCCTGGACATGTTGTCCCAGAACTCCTGCGCTTCATTGCTCAAAGGTGCGGCCATCGGGGTGCTGGGTGGGCATTGCTGGGTGCAGCCTGAGAGTAAGCAAAACCAGAAGAGTCAGAAAGGCCGTGAATCGATTGTTGAAGGTTGCCAGCTGCCGAGAACATCTCAAAATGGATGAAACATGCGACTATATAAATCATCTCTCGACATGTGACTAATGAACTTACTGTCAACAGCCAACTTTTCGAATCTATCGTGTGGTTCTATTTAATTAGAAATTAAGTTATATAGCAAAGAAATATATAATTGCATGATACTGCATGAGTCGTTTCGGTTTCTCTAAAGTTATCGCATTAAACACCCAACAGCTGGCCATCGGCACACATGTCTCTTCGCTCCTGAGAGGTCTCTTCCAGAAGCAAATTGGGATTCACTCGGGGGTCCACCTTCTCCAGCTCCAGTTGTTGCAGCATCCATTCCTTTGTCCAATGTGAGGGAATGGAAGGATAGCCCAAGTCATCGAACTCCTCTTGAGACATATGGCCTCGGTGGCGGCCCGCCGAAGGCCTTTTGCAACAGAAAGAGAAGGGACACACCATCCATCTCAAATATCTCAGTTTAACTAGAACACAAAAATCAAGCATAAGTTGGAGAAACAAATACGATACACAATGATCTAGCCCATGTCTATATCCGAAGAGCACGCGCTGAACATTTTGGAGGTGCAGAACAGCTGGCAAATCAATGGTGTTCAATATTATACAGTATCCCGTCTGCCATTTGCTGTTTTGAGCACAACCCATTCCCGAAATTCAACATCTTTCTGCTCTCCTGCTCTCCTGCTCCTTCCACAGCCACCCCCCACATATCATCGGCTCGACGGTCGCTCCTGATTTCACGTCTTTTTCCAATGCCCAGTGCAGTCATGGAACTCTTGGGCAGCCGCACCGGGCCATGGTCACGGCCCGCGCCCGTCATGATGTCGGAAGGTGAAAGGTTTCGGTTGGGGGTCTGGGGGTGGTGGCCTGAAAGCACTCGGCAGTGCGCCAGCAGCTGAAAGAATCCGGTTTGCTAGGGTCTGTGATGGGTGTAACAAGGATGGCATCCCACGAGATCCAGTGAAACGTATGGCATGTAACGTCTTCTCTCTCGCACTGTTCTAAAGGCCCAAACAACAGCCCCAATCCCACCCCAGCATGATATATGATATCAATGCTATGTGATAAGCTGCCCATGATGAGCTACTAAAACATGTCCTGTTAGAAAGTTGGTAGGGTCTGCTGGTCTGCTGCATGTCTGAACTTGCTTCGAATGCACCGCCTTGGAAGCTAAATGGTGCTATGGGCTGGGCAAAACGAGGCAACGGGATATCGTATGATTTTGAGGGAAGCGAGAAGGGATTGAATCATTGATTCTAAGAGGTCTAGTAGAGTGTGCGCACGCAGCTGCAGCAGCTACGCTTCATCAAAGGCTCTTGTCATGGTTGGATGTGTCAACTGGATGATGTCTTTGAACTCCGATGCTAATCAACTTTACAAATACACTCTGACTCACTAACATGGAAGTGGATGGCATGGCCCCTTGGAAGACTTTCCTTTACGAACAAAGGGGGTGAACACCCCCCGTAAGCATGTTTTAACTGTGTTCGTCCAAGAGGCCTCTTGGCAACGGGGCAACCCTCACTGCGGGGGCTAAGCCTGGTGTGGGAACTCAGGGCTCTACTGACTCGAGTGGTAGTAATCCTGTAAAAGTCATGAAGAAAAATCGAAGTTAATTGGTGAGCAGGTCGGCCAACCTCCATCCCAATATATATATATATACTAGGACCTTCCAAGAGGTGTCTATAAATAGCCTCTTAGGGTTTTAAGAGGTGGCCAAAAACCACCTGTTGGAAGGTCCTGGTATATATATATATATATTATACTAACTTATATAGGTTCGTTGCCCCTATAACTGAGCTCTTGACCATACCAGCCATGGCGCTTGCGCGAACGGAGAACCGGCAAGTATGAAGACTGGTTGTGCCAGCGTAGCTAGTTCGGGAAAAGTGCTCTAGTCTCTAATGATTCCCAGCACTATTCCTGCATACCTATACCCTAGGATTCGAACAATCATTGCTGCCATCGTCTTTTCCAAAAGGACCATTAGTTTTATACTAAGGATCGTTTTTGACACTGCACCGCCAGGTCAACCATTCTTTTGATTGTCTTTGAAGGCTAGGGTATACAATTAATTAGCCACTACTAGCCTTGGATTGGATCCCCCTGTCATGACGCTGGCCCATGAAGGGGGAAGTTTGCTGCAGGAGCTTCATGTGGGCTGGGGAACTTCAGCACTTTCCCCTGTCTTGCGCACCCCCGAAGCAAAACCGCCCCTCCCCCTCTTAGGCCAAGAAATGCATTCGCATGCCGCATCTTTCCATGATTGCACTGGAAAATCACTAAAAATGAAATCCCTGACTAGCAAAACCGACGGCAAATCTGTTTTTCGGTGGAAAAGAGTATGCCCAAAACCGAAAACCTTTTCCTCTGGGTCTGTTGAGTCTGTTGAGTCTCGGGTCTGGCCCTGGCTGAGTAGACTGGTCGATTTGCCGTGTAGACTTCAAGGGGTCTTTAAGAGGCGATCGCCATATTTGTATACACACCCGTAATCCATCTATGCACAGCACCATCAAACCAAATGTACACACATGAAAAGCCAACATCATTTGCACGCCTTAACTTCAACTTCACCATCTTCCATGCCATCTCCATCTGTGCATAATTACCGCGCACCGCACCGCCATACTTGCCCCCAAAACACAGTCACATCTGTCCATCAGATCTGACAAAAATCTGAGCAGCACCGATGGAGACCGACCCTGCTTTTTCATCGTCCTAGTAGCTTCTTGCTACTTGTAGTAATGGCCTCCAACCTACTAGCGATGGTCTCCACCCTAGCTTCTTGCTCCACCCTAGCGATGCCCTTTTCAGCGTCCTGCTTTGATGCGTTGCTCCTCCAATCCGAGCTCCTTGCGGCGCACGTCTTGCGCCAGCCGCCGCCGCAGCACCGCCCCGTCCGTGACGGCATCTGGGCCGAACCACCTGACGCTGCGACCCGTTCCCCGCGAAAGGGCCGAACCACGGACTTGGCCTGGAAGAAATGGGAATTTTAAGGTACTTGCCAAGGCACTTCTGCCAGCGTTTTGTTTTTTTTGGCATTTTCCACGTGAAATCGGTGAATTACGTGGAGCGAAGGACCCACAAACCCACAAGTGCGTGCTAAACAACTCCAGGCTCAAACTTTCCGTGAGCTGGTTGAACCTAAAAGTCGTGCAATGAATGTGCTGATCCGCATCAACCACCCGTCTGATAGTTAACCGTAAAGTGTACAGGTACAAGTCTTCGTCAAGGTAGATCAACCCCAATCAGTTTGACCTCACTTAAATAAAACATTCACAATTGCGAGGTGCAACAATCACAAAAGTACATAGGATAATCCGACAACCCCCATGAAGTTCTTGATCTGAGCTATTTACTCGGCCTCTCCGGCCTATCATGTTGAAGCATGTCCGGGACGGAGGTTCTCCCATGTTCCTGATGAACCAACTGCTTCTCTCCAAGCACAGCTACTATTTTTTACTTGAACCTCCTCGCCCTCGCCCTCCCCCGCCTCTTCAACAACCACTCGAAGGCCGCAGGGAAGGCCGACTGCAGCACTGCGTTGGCCTCGCGCGCGGTCATCCTGGCGTCCCCGAACTGCGCGGGCGACGGCGCCAGGTTGGAGCGCGCTGGGGCGCCCACGCCGAAGATGATGCGCAAGGGCTGCTCGATGGCCTGGAGGCGCGGAGCGATTTGCAGCTTAAGGATTTGCTGAAGGAACTGGGGAAAAAGAAAGGAAAAATTTCCCCAGTTCTGGGATTCAGATGCACTCATATATGAGTACGAATGAAGACGTGTGACGTAGGGCCAATGCATAGAAACCATCCGATTCTGCAACACCAAGCTTTGACAGGAGACTTTGGAGGTTTGTCCGGGTCGGAAAGCTTCAATCACCAGCCTACGGTAGAACCAACCTCAAAATCCTCAAAGACCATGCTGTGAGAGAAAAACACGTCACGCATTGAACTTCTACGTTCCGTTTTCCCTGTTCATTTGTAGTGTAGGGAAACTGATCCCCCCAAAAGTGTTTAAAGGTTATCCACTCTTCTTAGGAGTAGGACAACCGGATTCCCTCCCGCATGGTCGCCCGGTCGACCGTCACCCGCCAACCTGCTCCCTTTGATCCGGTCGCGCCTTGCGCCCGGGGCGGAACTCCGGGGCCACTGCGTCGATGATGGGCTTGGCCCAGGCAGGCGCTAAGTGGTTCCCCTCGCCGCAAAGGAAACGTCCACAGGCCTCACAGCTTTTTGACCGGCGAAGCGGCGAGATGGATGAAAACAGGTGAAGATGGGGCGGAGGGGAACTTGATGGCGAACAGTGGCAAATAAGTTTAGTTAATTTCATGACCTTTCGATTTTGTGGAAATATTCACATCCTGACCGATGATTCCAATGATGCACAAGTGTACACAGCGACACCACCATGTGAGCTGTGTTGTAAACGTCTTATATCCCGGCACCAAACAAGGCAACGCTTACGCCGCATCTTACGTTTTGCTTACGCGCGCACAGTTTTGCTTACGCGGAATAAACCGGCTTACGCAGACCTTACGCTGGACATTTTTAGTACCCGGCCACAGCCCCAGCTTACGCGCAGCAACTTTTACCTGCAGGAACCGCAGCGTTTCTAGGCAGCATCAAGCAGTAGAAGATGATGACGTGGACGAAGAAGATGAAGCCGATGAAGACGCAGCAACAGAAGAAGCCCGCAGATGACGAAGTTGACGACGCTTCTTGGCAGCACCTCTGCTGAGCTCGTGGGCATGACAGACAGACTGGGCACCACTGATAGCGGACAGGCCAGGAAGGACAGATTGACATCTAGAGAAAGCCTTGTTCAGCAAGAGGTGTGCTTCATCCAGAGAAGGGCAATGTTGTTCCAAAATGTCCGAGACGGTCTTTGCGACAAGTCCCTGGCGCTCTGCACCAAGTTGCGAAAATGATTTGTGTTTGGGAGACATGGGCAACTACTGGCAAAAGCAGCTTTGGCTTACGCGCCGCTTACGCGGACCTTACGCGGATTTTGGCTTCCAACCCGGAAACAAAGTTCGGAGGTGAAGGTCTTGAAAAAGGTATGACACTATGGGCACATACATTACAGTGTTGCTGTTTCCATCCGATAGTACAGTGCAGTTGTTAAAACTCCTTTTCTTGGTGGACAATCCTTTTCATTGCGGGCTTTATCATGATTTCGTTTTCCATGCAATTCAATCTTGCAGAATCATCAGAATCACATTCAACCTGCAGCATGGAGCTTGCCGCCACTTGGGGAAACAAAAATCCAGCAACCTGACAGTGATCCCATGGATGTATGTTAAGCTGTAAGCTTGGAATATAAAAGGTTCTTTGTCCAAAACTGCCATTTCACAAATCACCAAAAATCTCTTACGCCAACAACATTGGCTAAAATTGCTTACGCGGGCTTACGCCCACTAGTGTTTTGCTTACGCCACGGGTCCTTACAAGGATCTCCTTACTTGACATGACAACTGAGGTTTAAAACGTGGCTCATGTGTCCTTTGTTTGCCGATCGTTTACTATCCTTTCTTCGTCCAATGCGGCGATCTCTTTGCCATATCATTAAAGCTCAGTGGTCGGTCGTGACAGCTACCCTCGGTGGTCTGTGACCTAGGACCTCAAGAGTTCCACCGGGGTTTACAAACCTGGCGGCGCTCCAAGGTCGCCGGGCTCTGGGGTCGGATGAATTCACCAGGTCAAAAATTTCGATGATTTTTTTCCACGGAAGTTAGCTTTCAGAATCACAGCGAGAAAGTCTCAAAAAAACAGGAGTGAATGATACTGAAATTGACATGAAATTGGCCTCATCATTCTCTAAATAAAGGTTCTCACCAAGGTTCCCAACCAAGGTTCTCAGGGTCCAGGTGTTGCACGGTCACCTCACACGGCCCTCCCCTCGCAGCGCTTGGGGACCCTTGGGGGCCCTTGGGGACCGGTGGTTCGCCAGCCAGCCAGCCCCATCCTCTCGGGTCTGCCTTCCGTGTCTCCGCATGAGCGAGCACGAAGTGCTCTGGAGAACGGACCCCCAAATACTTCAACGCCTGCTTGGCCGCGACAGACGCCTCAGTCAACCAAGCACGGTCTTCTGTGGCCGCGGTGTTCGAAGAAAACATAAACCAAACACTCCATGGGACTGTCATATTTACTATATTTACCTACATTGGGGTGGTTTGAGGGGTCAATGTAGGCTATATATCCTCTCATCTTACAGGGGTCGGGATGTCCAAAATGGATTATCCAATTGAAAGGTCCCCCCATTATCCAAATTTGTTGCCTGGTGGGGGTGGCGAAAGCTAGGAGGGAACAAGGAGGTATGGTGACGGGCTGTTACTGCGCTGGGAGCAGTGTCCCTAGAGTGCATGGGCAAATAATACATGAAAGTAATTGAAACCCATTCAACCGCGCAACTTTGTTATGTGGACAATGCTCATATCAGTGAAAACACAACGGCAGCACGCGTGCCAGCTCGCTCGATCTTTTCTGGGAAGTCGACGTCTAGCTGCCAAGAAAGCATCAAGCTCTGCGGCAGCGTCCACTGCACCCTCCGTGCAGCCGTCGCCACTTTCAGCATGTCTCGGATGTGCTGCTTCACCCGCAAAGAATCTTCCATACTGACATACTGCTGATCAAGGCGTGTTCTTGCTCATCAGATCCTGCCACTTCGTCTGCGATAGGCTCCGCTTCCCCCTCGTCCTTGGCACGGTGACTGCAGAAATTCCGGGAAGAGGATTCAACCTACCAGCTACTCTAACAGTTTCGGGCACTTAGAGACAGCTGCGCACTTTTTTACCGATATCCGATGCGCAAAGCAACTTCAGCCATGCATCTCCCTCTATAAGAGGATCAAGGTCACATTCTTCTTCGCTGCCTCGAGCCAAAACATCACAACCCCCGCCTTTCCACCAGTTGAACAGGGTCTCACGAATGTCTTGGGGCCGCTTGCCACGGGTCACCCAAGACAAAAAGCGGCTGGCATTTTGCAGAGCTTGCGCTGCAATCTTGCGAAGTTCCTCATCCGACACATTGTTGCAAGCGCTCGAGCTGGGTGGGGGCAGCTTCCACTTCATTTGCTGGAGGTGGGACTTCTGGGTCGACAGGATTGCATCTTTGATCGAAGGCTTCCCTGTGTAGTCCCGCTTCAGTTCGCTGAGCTGCTTCTCCGCAAAGCAATGCGCACAGCCGATGTTAGCAGCCGATTTGCATATGAGCAGTGCGCACGCCAAGGTCTTTGCGATGCTGCGTATCGTGCACAAGGGCAGAAACTTGGAAGACCAGGCCTTCCCATGCTTGGCCTGTAGCTGTGCCAGGTTTGCCAGCAAAAGGTAATAGGCTAGCAATGCATTTCTTGCCATGCTTGTCACGCTGAGGCCACGGCTCCCTTCAGTGCAAGAGCTCACCAGCGCCCCCACGAACATCATAATATGAAGGCCGCAAGCATCACTTGAGCTGGTCAAATACACAGGGTTCATTCTGCTGAAGCTTTCTGCATCACATTCGGGATCGTGAAGTGTGAATGCCCCGGTCCCCGTCCTGGGGCCAAATTTGAAGGGATTACATGGGGTGTCTGAAAGCCGCAAAGCCTAAAAGTAACCATGGCCTACATCACTCTCTACATGGTTAGAGAGTCACACTGTTGCAAAACATGCGCGGCTCAGAACACAGTCAGGCATGCATGATGTGGGTCCTCCTCCCAACAAAGTGCTGAAGTCGACATAGCAAGAGCCCCACCAAATCGTACGGGTTGCACTCTGGTGGTGTGAGCTGAAGCGCTTCAAGAGGTGTAGGGTGTCAATGGACAACATCACTGGAATGTTGCAGTAGCAAAGCTGCCCAAAAGGAAAGTAGGGGACACCCTCAATCCGTGCCACAGAGCATTGGTCCCAGAATGGGCCTCGCAGATCAGGCGTCGTGATGCGGCCACAGCCCGTTGAAATTATCAAGTCGTTGGCTGTGCCACAGTCTACGGCAAACCCCAGTGGCGGCAAACCGCTGTTCTCTCTTGTTAGGGCGAGCAGCACTTGCCCAAGGACTCTATGAAAAAAGTCTTGCCGCCTGTAAGAGACAAAGATCATACCGCGCATCCTTGCGATCAGACCGGCGCACTAGAAAGTGAATAGTTTGCTTGCTCAGCTTCTCAGGGGGTAGTCGGTCTAGCTGCTTCAATGCGCTCCAATCATCCTCCGCTCGTTCACTAGTGGCGCCTGCTTCAAGTTGAGAACCCCATGATGCTGATCAATGTCATCAAAAGAAAGTTGCTTGCTATCCTCTGCCGGATTCGGTTGGCTTCTTTGGATGCATGGCTGCAGGCTAGGGTTGCGACACTTCAACTCCCTGTGGAAGATGAAGCAGAACAAGCGTCTTTAAGCAGTCTATCACGCACCCTTGCCCTTGCAGTTGCCAACGGCACTGTTGCAGAAAGTGATTTGAAGATAGCTGCCATGATAGCTTCGGGCAAACACCGGGCCAATCGCGTCGTCAACGCTCTCCTCCAAAGTTTTTCGACATTCAGGCTTCTCAGCTGCCGTGCAATCGTTTGGTTTGCCAAGAGTGAGGGAGTGTGTGCCACCGAATTTCCAAGTGTGTCCTACTTTCTTAAGGGAACACAACAGAAATCATAGCGTTGGCTTTGCATAAGTCATAATTCATTTGCACCCTTCACTTAGCCTTGCATACCCGGTCCTCCACTCACAACTTTCTTCGCATTCAATTGCCGATGCTTGCGGAGGCAGCTGCCGTTGAAGCACCCAATGTTGCCAGCCTTTTTTGTTTCATGCCAAGACGAAGCTACCTTGCGCAGCAGCGCCAGAAATGTTCTGGAGCGTCTCAACACTTTCTCCACCCGTGTGCTTCAGTTGCATTTGAGATTTTCAAGAGCTTCCATTTTTTGGCATCAATTGAAAAGGAACTGCCATGCGATCCGCAAAGCAACAACCTTATCTGATTCGATGCATGAGGTGCACTTTGTGGCAATTGATGAAACCTATTGGTCGGCGTCCTACCAGCTTACCTCTGGCCTGTTCAGTCCGGGGGAGAAAATCGTTGTTGGGGCAGTCAACTCCTTGGCTCGGAAAGGAAAGAAGTCGGCCTGTCTCAAAGCCTTCTCGGCTTCCTGCCTCTCTGGCGAAGTTCCTCGAGATACCACTTGTGCAAAATTGGGTGAATGCGAGACGGCAGGTCCACTGGCTCACTTCCTCCATCAGCCCCTTGTTCTTGCAAACAGCGGTGCGCAATTGACAGGCCCTTGAGCCATGGCACTCGTGTGCCTTGCAATCCACATGCCTGGCAGCGAGCTGATCACCACTCCACCTAAAGATTGGTCAAAGGGCAAATCGCAAATGTTTCAACTCCAATGCTGTGTGGCTGACATGGCAAACAAAAAGGAAAGCGGTACGCCTGAGAAGTCGAGCAACATAAATGTGATCCGTGACAGGCAACCAGCAGACCCCTTTGAAGGCTCTGCCAACTTCAATCCAGTCCCAAGCCAAAGCTTGACAGATTCGCACAACGCATCCAAGCGGCAAAGGGCGGAGCGCTGCGGTGCTTGGGGCGTGCGCCACGTATCGCCGCTTGGGCCGGGGGGATCCAGGTCTTTTCCACCGGTCCAAACGAAGTAGCTGAGGATTCCCCCTCCACCAGGACACTGCCACCATGTCCTGCCCCTCTGTGTGCTGGTCCTGGAACTCATGCAAGAGCTTCACTGCTTTTGCACTCACCCTGCCCGTGAAGGAGTTGAACTTGTCCAAAGGCAGCCTGGTGAGCATGGGGGTCGCCTCAGGAAAATGGGATCTCCAACGATTTGATATGATTAGACTAAGGTCAAAGAATTCCTGGCTATGATGAGGCCGGATCCCGGCTGGACCAGAACGCCCACTCCAAGCAATCTAAGGGCAAGTTTGGTCTTCAGAACTACTATGCTGGAATGTGACAGTGGCTGATGTTAAAGAATCAACCTTGACTCAAGGCAGTTGCCCGGAACATAACTCTGATGAGATTTAGCTGTCTTGCTTCCACTGTAGTCCTGGGCAAAAACTCTGCGCTTCTGGGTATTTCTGGGTGTGTAGCAAGCCCCCGTGGCAGGATAAGATGTGATATACCACCAGGACAACATATTCTTCTTGAAGGTTCCAAAACAAAAACTATCAAAAACCTTTCCCCCTGCTGTGTAGAATCCTCCAAAACACTTCTGTCACTTTACACGGTCGGATTTCTTCCCTCAAACCTCTTTAGATCTCTTTATTTAGTGATACACTTAGAAGCGTGTGAGAGTTGACTGTGCGAAATGGACTTCCTAATTCGACTTCTGCCATGATCCACATACTTGTTGCCGTGATCAAGGCAAGAAGAAAGAGTCTTCTTCCTGAAATATTCCTGAAGTATCCGATCTTCTGTTGCAGCGCTTTCTTCCAACGGAAGCTGCAGTTAGTCCATCGCTACATGTTCGGAAAGCTTGGACGACGAGGATGATCCGGCGGCTCCAAAAAATTAAAAAGGTCAACCTTGAAATCCCATGCACTGTTCATCCATGATGAGGTGTGTCATGATACAATTAGAGACGCCAAAATCCGCAACAAAACCACGTCCAACTACGACCAAACCCTGCAAATCCTGTCACACCAGTCACCGGTCCAAGAGTTTTCTGCATTGCATCGTCTCCCCGCCCTCCCCCCTTTCCCACGATTCGTCCAGCCTCCTCCTCTTGCAAAGCTCTTTGCCGCTCCAGGACCAGCACTTCATGAGCCTCCAACATCTCCTCCCTCTTCATGAGCTTCCAAGCGCTGCTCCTGGCGGACTCGGAGATGACATGGAGATTTGTCCGAATGATTCAAATTCAAATGACTCCAATGACCATCAACACGAGAGATTCACGGAGTGATTCAAAACCTCCCATCTAAAGCGTGTGGCATTCGCACATCTTTTAAGACAGGGTATGTGTCAACATAAGAACCCTTGGTGTCAAAAAGAAACTTTTAAACCTACTGTATCACGCGCCGGTCGCAGCAGGAGGTGGTCTCTGCGCCAACTCTTGTTCACTTTCCGGAGGTCCGGAGGTCACTTTCTTTGGGCCTCCCTCGGAGGTCACTTTCACTTTCCGGGAATGAGCATTCTTGGTCAACTCCCTCCGCTCTGTAGGCTCAATATGATTGAGAATCTTCTGAGTGACCTGACCTCAGAGGTGGGCGAACACAGATTCGGAGCACTTTCTGTCGCCCGTATTCGACGTGAACACCGTGTAAAACCGCGGTCTTTTGGTGGTGTTTTCCGGGTGTGTCTCCAACAACGGCTGATCAGAGCATCAATGACACATGTTCTGTCCATCTCATTCAGAGAAATCCTCCTTTTGGGTTATTATCATTACTCTACTCACTTCTACCCCGCCAATGACTTTGGAGATTTTCTCCCCGGCTTCTTCTTCTTCAAACTTCACATCCAGCTCCTGCCGTCAAGACTCACGACAGCTCGGCTCAGCATGGTGAAGAGATGCGAAGAGTTTTGGCCGCGGCGATGGCCCGGGGCGGCCTTCGTACATCCGTGAAATCCATGTCAATGTCCACCCTCGGAAAATAAGACAGGTTCGGGGTGGTGGTCGGAAAATGAAAACCTGTTGGCAACGGTTCCGGTACCTGTCTGCACTTGCCTCTTCCGCTATGTCACAGCGAGCTGCAATGGAAGCCTGGAGGAGGTTGGAGGTACAGTGGACACGTATACCATGGAGTCAAACTGACTCGGTCTTTGGAAGGGTGGTCGTCGACGTCTTTGGATTGTTTGGTATGCGCATGCTGTTGATTGTTTTGGGTCGTTCAGTGACCAAAAGCAGCATGAAAGAAGTGGCTCATACAACAAACACTGCAAAGGTGTTCTTTGTGTTCAACAAATATGTGGGAAATCGACTATAGCCTATTGAACTTCCAACAGAAGAAGGGCTCAATGCTGTCTCATTGAGGCCGATGATGTTCAATGTTCTAGATTTCCTGGCCTTCATTCGGTATACCTTGACGAGCTGAGACACCAAGTACCCATTGGTACCACACCTATCTGCAAAATCCCAGACTTCTCATCGGAGAGTTTCCTCAGTCCAAAGATTCTAGAGGCACAGCGTCTGCACTTTTAGAAGAACCTTTCCACACAGATGCTCCATGATAAAGGAGTCTAGAGTCTAGAAGCTAGACAGCAAGGGGCCCTAATCGGCCCTAGATTTTAGGGTTTGGAACTTCACCAGGAAGCTGAAGTTCCACCTGTCGGAAACATGTGCTCGCTTGCAGTCTACTTTCAATTCGGCATAATTAGAGGATGAAGGGTTTTCATTCAGCTCTGTCCAACGGAATGCATCCTTTTCGGTGTGATCTGTAGACCGAACCTGGTCGCTTCAAAGCTGTTTCGGGCTGCTGCTTGAGGTAGAGTTCCTCATTGGACACAACTGAAGTCTTCAACGATCAAGCCCACGCACGCTCTGATTGGAGGCTGCTTGCTCACCCTTCAACGTCAGTTCAGAGTAAACACGCAACATCACGCAACCGAGGGCGACTCGAAAGAGACGTGCTTGTCCTCCTCATTGTCTTGGCAACATCAGACATCATGATCTCAAAGTCACGCTTCCTCCCAAGCTTAAGCGAGCCCCTGCTTTGCTGCACAGCGGCTTGCACTGCCCCAACCAAGCTCCCATGATAATGTTGCTGGAAAGATTGCAAGCAGCCTCTGAAGACAAACATGTCCCTGCCAGTGCCTTGGACGCCATAAAAGCTCGCTTCAGCAAACAGCTGTACATAGGAAGATGCCACGGGGGGCACCCAAGCTCCGACAGCTGCGTCAAGTTGACCGACCTGACAACGCCAGCCCAATGGTCCGGCTCATCCGGCCGCGTCCAGAGCGTGTCCCAGTCAAGAACACTGCACACAGATGAAGTACTCCACCCTCCGCGCTGGATCGCGTTCTCGAAGAACTTTCTCGCGATGTGAGGCGACAAGTATGACACACCCATCAAGAAGCAACGGGGGCATTGGCCCAAGCAAGTTCTTACAGCCCGCATGTATTGCCACAGCTCCTGAGGCGCTCTGGGAAAAGCAAGGCCCTCAAACACGTTGAACAACTTCTCCACGCAGCTGAGCGCCGACTGGCTCCTGCCAGCCTTCCCCAACTGCAATGATCCCTCCTCGCTCTTCTCCAAGAGTTCAAGCCTCATCATGCACAGTCATGATCCGATACTCCTTCACCAGCTCTTCAGGAGGGTCGGACCGAACGCTGCTCTCCCATTCACCAGCATTGCAGAGTGACCGGAGCACACTGTCGGCAGTTGGTGGCCCCGGCCTCAACAAGCAATATCGAGCAATGACACATAAAGTTTGGGCAGTCCCGAGGCACCTGTTGTAGCAAATGAACTGAACATATCTGAACATGAAGTTAAGAAACTCAAGGGTCCCTTGATGCCCCTTGCAAGACTCAGGATTGCGTGGCAAACCTTTGCGAATACCCGTGAACCCATAGCGTCAGAATATGTTACAATGGACAGGAGGTGGAAAGAAAAGAGTGGATGGGCACACACAACTCAGCCCAAAGCCTGGGCCCTGTACCAAATAGCTGGGGAAATGCGTGGGCGTATACTAGAATCCAATAGGGAAGACTTACATTAAGTTTCGCAAAGCAATTGGACAGGTCTAAAGCGGATTTTGGATGTTTTGGTATAAAGCAATTTCTTCTCGGAATTTCTCGGACCTGTAGACCAAATCTCACCTGATGATCATGTTTAGAAGCATTTACCACTATCAAGGTATTTCAAACTATCTCACCCATTCTCAGCCACAGGTACCTCTCGTTATCTCTCGTAGATGGAGGGTATTTTGGCCAGTGTGCCGGTGTATAATCGAGTGGTGCCAGGCCGCATGAGGCTCCCCAAGAAGGCTGAGATAACAGAGGGAACCCAAAGGTTGGCGCAAATGAACATCACGACGCATTCGGCCTCACCACATCCACTCAACACCAGCCCTGCAAAGAAGCTCGGATCAATCGGTGGAACCAACACCGGCGCCAAACGGACTGCGGCCCGCGCTAGAGGCCAACAGACCAACGCGCCATGGGCAGATTTCGTGAAAACGTGTAGCTACAAAGGAATGCTTTTGAAAGCCGCTGGCTTTTGTGATATGGCATTTAAATGCCAGCTGCCTCAATATTGCAAATGCCATTGTCATTGCATCGACACTGTGTTTACAATTGTAAATAGTAGATGAGTGAGACATAGTGAGACCAAGGGGCCGCAGCAGTTGGAAACTTGGATTGGCCGTAAAGTCACATCTTCCTATCTTCCATGATTTCGGGTCAATGAGTCATAATGAGTCAATGACTTTTACTCGCTGCATCTCGCTGCTAGCTTGAAAAGTCACGTTGGAAGGGTAAGCTGTTCAACGCAAGCTGTTCCATTCTATCTCATGTTTCCCTGTCCGTCCTTAAGAGATCTGAAGAGCACCAAAAGAAACACCGAAAAGATGGCGGCGTGGCCCAGCCTGCACCTGCACGAGCAGCTTCCGGAAGGTCATCCCAGCAATCGGATGACCTAGGCAAACCAGGCGCATCACACCAAATGGTGGGCACTCCCCATTCTTCCGTCGTCGTCGTGAATTTGGCTTTGAAGGTGTATCACCAGGCTGACATGTCCATCATGGACTCATAGAGGGTCGGTGCCACGATGTGCCACGTGCCATATGGTACCATCTTCCAACAGTATGGTCCCATATAACATGAATATATATATATATATAGATATGAATCAACCAGGCAATGCTTGGATATGCTTGGATTCTGCATGGTTCTGCCTGATGATCCTTCGGGAGATGGAGGGAAAGCCCCTCCCGAAAAAATGCATTGTGAAAACTATACCATCCACTGGATACCATTGGATATCACTGGATCTTCAAAAAAAAGGCACGCGCTAACAAGTACTGCCTGCGAGACGGATGAGATGGGATGAGCTTTCTGCACTAGGGCCTTACTAGGGTGGAGAAATGCCAGCTCGGAACATATCCTCATGACCAGTGTTCACTTTGGACGGTCATGTGTAAAGTATTTGTAGTTTTGTCCACTTGTAGATTTGGACATTATAGAGCTGATCTCCTTACTCTTGATGCAAGGAAGCACGCCATATATTTAGAATTCGTTAAGGACCTCAGCGACGCTTCTAAGTCGATCCGGCTGCTGAAGTCTTCACCATCTTTGCTTGGGAAAAAACCTCACCAACTGAGGGCACTAGGCTTCCGGACCTGGTCGAGTGGCATTGTCGCAGTTGTGATCATTTAGTTCACCCAGACGCATGGCGAAGGCAAAGGCAGACTAGATTTAAGGCCAGCGTTCAAAAAACAAAGCCACATGAAAAGAACATGTGGGAAAACCATGGAAAACCAGGAGCCGCTTCTGAACCTTCTCTACACAGTCGGGAGTTCACAAGGGTCTAAATCTAAATGGACCTATCCGAACCTATCCTTTGATTGGACAACTTTCTGTGAGAAGATGTGAGAAGCAAAACCGCACATGGCTGCGACGGGCCAGAACATCAACACATGTCCGACCGCAACACCACAATAAATGGATAGACGAACCTGGATATCCACCGCCTAGGCCTAGGTCCCCCCCTATATCCATTTCTCCTGGGAGGGTGGATGGCTATATATATATATATGTGGTATACATGAAGTGTCTGGGAAATGGTGGACCATCATGTGGCTCTACTTGGTCCCATTAAGAAGGAGATTGATTCTTGAAGGCCGGCCTACTTCAAGTATATAGTTTGTTTCTCATACTTAGAAGTTATGAACATATATGAACATATCTGTTCTACAGCACTGCCAGCACCGGACATGGAGTGTGAATCCACTTTCAGAAGACCTTTGGCTTCCAGTGAGGATTTCGAGCGTCGCTCCGGTGAGCTCTTGATCCGTGGCTTGGCCCAGCTGAACTCCCCACTCCCTCCGTCCTGCACCGTCTCCTTGGTGCAGTCTGCCCATAGCCTCACCAGGACCACCTCACAGGCACAGCACCATCTGACGGCGTGCGTGGCTTCACCAGCACCATCTTTGGCGCGTGGCAGAAAGTGCAGAAGACACAAGAAAACTCCTTCTAGTGGGCCCCAAATAGATTGTGGACACGGTTTCCTGTCTACATGTTCTATAAACCCCCTCTCTCATGACACGCGTTGAGAGCTTCTCAGCCAGGAATCAGCTGTCATGCCTTTCCTTCATGGGGTCTGAACCACTACAGGACCAGTTCATGTGTGTACATATATTGCAGGTGCCGAAGGGTACACCAACTACATCCCAGGTCTGGTGACCTGATGGTTGGAACACGTTCTGCCGGAAGTGACGGCACCCGCCTCAATTTAGACCCAGGAGGCTTACAAATCATCAGAGTGAAGGTTGTCACTCAATAGAGGTCGGACGGCACCATCTGCTTGATTCAAATCAGCCAGCAAGCATCAAACATCAAGGATCCATATGGATCCATACAAAACATTGCAATCAAACTCCCCTAGATTCCAACACTTCCACCCTCTTCACCCCTTCCATTCCGCCCCAATATCGGCCCCCCCCCCTTCGACCCCCGGCGCGCCCCGCTGCCGTGCTCCGCGAAGTCCGCCAGCGCCACGCTGTTGGACCGCCAAGCGCCGAAGCTCTGCGTCTCGGCGACGTGCTCCACGAAGGCGCGGCCCACGTGGGCACGCACCTCGGCGTCCGCGGTGGGCGGTGCGCGGTCTCCGGCGTGTCCGGAGGCGGTGTCCGGTGGGGGGCGGTGGTGGTGGGCGGCCCGGAAAATGGAGGCCATGGCCGGAGGCCATGGAGTCCATGGACCTTTAGAGGATTCTCATGTGTGAAGATTGGCCCAGTGGTGTTCAGGGTCCAAGTGGTTTTCTGGGAAAGGGTATCGGCTATTGCGGACCATGTGGGGAGTCGGAGTGGCACTGGGAGTGGCTAAAGCATGTGATTGTTGAGTGGGAAGGGATCTTCTGCAACACTTTCTTGTATATAGATCTTCTAGCATGCCGAAAGGAGCCTTGGAGCATGCCGCTTTACGAGCTAATTGATGCTTTTGGTCCTGATCACTTCGTTCGCATGTTCGCATGCGGAGCTTTGCCCATGGACCCCCCCGGACCACCAAACATCAGCTTCGTGACTAAAGGGAACTGCGAGGACAATGGCCCCCCCAGACCGATCACACAGCGCACCATGGCGCGGCCCTCGTGGGCTCAGTTGCTGGATCTGCAGTGATCTGCGGTGTGACAAATTGCTCATTCCAAGACCCATAGTTGCAGTGCTTCTTGGATGTTCATGGGTATCGGTATCGTTTCAACATCTACAGGGCGGCAATGGATGGCACATCGACTCCTTCAACGATCCACCATCAGGCTTGAAATCGCCAGTTGTTTCTGTCACCATTGGGGAGTCACTCCACTGGTGGGCGGCGATTGCAAGTGTTCCCTGAAGAGGTCTGCTTCACACGGCAGGGCCCTGCAAACCTGCATGCACTTCGCTGATTATGTCAACAGTACTCGCTCATCTTCCAAGGCATCGGTGTCTTCGAGTCCTCTGACGCAGTTCTTCGGAAGTTTCTTTGGTTGCTCCAGGCCCTACATTCTGAGACACGCTCTGAAACATACCTCATCTTCTGAATGGCTGCGCATGGCTACGCATCGCCGTCCTCCGTGAGCGATTCGAGATGGGCAGGTCGTCGAACGGTACCGAGCATGTGGTGGGGGGTCGTGTTCCGGGTCGGGTTTTTCCTCAACATGAAATAGAGAAAGGCGTGGGCAAATGCAAAAAGCCAGAAAGCTGGCTTGGCCAGGAGATTGATTCTGTTGGCTTCTGATAGTTCATGCATTTTTGGATTCTGGGTGCTTGGTGGTGGTCGAACAGTGCCGCTGTATGGCCAAACCTCATGTATATAATTTCATCATATTTCCCGTACTTACTGAGTCCGTCTAGGCTGTTTGAATGAACCTTTCCCAGCTACGTATGGGATTGGTTGCCACCACCAAGGGTCCTGATATCCAATCTATAGCATGACTCTCCAAATGTGCTTTGTGGGTTGGCATTCAAAAGTGGATCCAGGATGTATTTCGAGATGTTGACGTTCATGTGTCGTTTTGGGTGATGGACATCCAATGAATGTGCCCGTCAGTCTCTAGATGTAAACATTGCCCTTTTGATTGGACATTCCATCCCTACCACTCTGCTGCGGAGTACGCACTTTGTTTCTTCACGATGCCAAATCCTCACCAGGCCCTGGCAAACCTGCACACCCGCGCAAGAAAATTGAGAAGAAGGCGTCAAGTAGACGTTCGTCGGGTGGTGGATGAAAAGGGCAAGAAAAAAGCATCCCGACAAGCATGACGCTCATCTGGAGAGAAGGCCAAAGGAAAACATATTCCACAGCAACATCCAGTTCTTTTGGGGGATCTATTGCTACATTATGCTATACATTCTATATTGCTTACTTTACAGCTATATATTGATCGTTGTTGTAGTTGCTTGGGGCTATGGAGTCGACGAATCTGAGGCTCCTAGGTCCTAGCTGCAGACACCCCCTTTCAAACCTACCATCATCTACCATAACATAAGCAAGCTGGGCATGTTGATGTCACACCAAGTCAATCGCAAAGAAGCAGACATCTTACATCATCTTACTAATGACAAGGAGTGAAGACTCTGGAGATGGCTGGAAGGAGAAACCATTCGAGTGGGCACGCTAATCCATATGCCATCACCTCCACCCTTAGATACCAATGATGTTCGGGACTCTGAGCTTTGTTCCATGTTGCCCGGAAAACGGGAGTTGCTCCAAATTAGATGGCCCATCAGCACCTGCGCTAATTGTATGATATGATATATGGCTTCCTTGAAGTCTCCAACTAGAGGGAGCAGATCTAGTTGTATGTGCGGCTTACCCTTCCCAACATGAGCTACGGAGCCTGGCTGGGAATCTGGGTAGCCGCCAGGGTCGCGAAGCTGGCAGCAGTTGCGAAACGACTTGAATCATGGACGAATGTGGAACAGCTGGACGAATTTCGAGGCTCAAAATCACCGCGCCTACAAAACTCATCCGTAAAATTGCTCATCCGTTTGACAAGCCAATTCAATTGGCTTGTTGCTTGAGAAAGTGTTTCCCCATGAGCTCTATAGATCGACTTCCAAAACCGTGCCGGGAAACGTAGAAGATGAACACATGCTGCGTCAGGATGTCAAGCCGCAGCCACAAAGAATGACACAGATACTCGTAAACCGTGCTATGTATTTTGTGGCGTTTGTGCAATCATAGTGGGAGCATGTCTATGTTCTGGTATGTTTTGACCTTTTACTTTGGCAAGTGCAATGGCAACGAGATGCCCATCTCCAACTTTTTATCCACCCTTGCTCACGTGTGAAAAGGGGCAGGAATCACCAAATTTGCAGCAGCCATTCTGATAGTACCAGCAAATTGCGGAGCCATTCGTGTTCCACTTCGGGACATAATCCTCAAAATAACACTCAGTGGGCCAACTATCTTCGAATGCAGGCCACCGATAAACTCGGGAATGATGCGACCAGCACTGGGCACAATAGCCTTTCCTGGGCGCCGACGACGAAGGAACGCTTTCGCGGACGACGCGACGACTGCACGACGTCGTGTCCGGCAGACGGTCTCTTCGACTCATAGCGGCTGGAGCAGTTTGAGAGGTCTTGGGGGGGTGGTGCAGCTGAGATGGAGTGAGTACAGTAAGAAGGAGTGGCATCCACTTTGGATACCTGGAGCCTGGGTGACCTCTATTTTGGAGGATCAACTACTGTAATCAGAAATGTGGCCTTTTCCTATCAAAACAAAGGTCACTTAGGCTCCAGGTACACATGTCCATGCAGAAACGGGGGGGCGTGCGTTAGGTGACACCACAATGTCCAGTGTACGGCGTATGGGGTCCTGTGAAGCTTGGATCGTTTTCAGGGGGGCCAACGTTAGTGGCAATGACTCCGGACATGGCCAACCTCTCCAAACAGCAAGTGTCCAGTGGTTCTTCTAGTCAGCAAATGCAACCGTCCAGAATCACAAGTTTGAAGCGACATGCTTCTATCCCATACACTCCATGTATGGAATATATGCTTACATCCCAACCACCCCTGGCCTGATCGGCAGTCCTATGGCAGTCCCATGGAGCGTCTGCGTATGGAAACGCCCCGGTGCGAAACTATGCCCTGATCACCTGAGCAAACTTCCAAGTCACATGGTCTCCGGGTCAAGTGCCCGTTGGTCGCGCTGACACACATACTGCTTGGTCTGGACGCTGCAACGTTCCTGAGCGCGGGATTTGTTGGCACTGCGGAGGGTTAAACCATGCAAGCCCCGCACGCAGAAGCTTCCCCACTACAGCTAAACATCACCAAGAAACTCGTCATCCGGGCTTGTCATTCCTGCAAAGGCAGTAGTTGGTGACTTCTGGCAGTAGTTCTCTGCCCTTTCTTCTCCACGGGGCCAAGGTTGGGCACGTGCTTGGGCAAAACTCACCCTGACCCAGAAGAAGCCATAAGAAACCTCATCCCTTTCAGCCGCAGTCTGTGCTTTGGTCATGCAAGATGAAGCCATGGGAAACTCCACCTTAAGGTGGACCGAGCATTAATTCATTCCATATGACGAAGCCCTACCGGCTTTACAATCCGAATGGGTTTGTTTATCAGTTCAGAGTCTACGTTAATTGACGATGTTTTCAGATTGCTAATTGAAAGGCTTTCAAAGACCTGTGAAAATCGCTCGCGGACGTGGTGAGCGCCTGGCGTTGTCCATGCATGTTTGGAGCAACATCAGTCAGGTTGCGGGCAAAACAAAAAATACACCCTGACTCAGTAACATGAATAGAAATGGAGTTCGCCTCCTCTTGGTAGAGGAAAGTCGTCTTCCAAGGGACCATGTCATCCACTTAACCGTGTGATTTTGTCGTCAAAGGGTAACTAAAGTCTGCATCTTTGGATGTTCCAAGTTCATCTTCGTGTTCACACCATGCCCGTGCTTCAAATAAAATACAGTGGTTTCAGAGTAAATGGCACAACCCCCAAAAGGTGGTTAATACGGACCCGCATTATTTAAAAGATATCTTGAAGTCTCTTAAACCCCTGTAAACATGAAGATTGCACCTCCACAAACAGGTGGTCCGGCACAATCAGTGTCCAGAATCATGTAGAATCAAATGTCAACACGATTTCTAGACTCATCCAATCAGGTTCGCTGGACTACAAGAACCACTACTTCGGGGTCGCTGTGACTCCTGGTGACTGATGTTTCCAGGACGGCTTGGCCGAAGGCAAGCGTGTGCATCGATCTAGGATCCAGCACTGCAAAAAGCACCCAGGTCGATCTTCTAGAACAAACATTCGTCTAATTTGGGCCAGGGGGCGTACCTCTGACTCTCTTCCTAGATTCAAATAATTCCAGTTCCCTGTCGGGGTGCGCATCTTAACAAACCCCGCCGACACACCCGTTCTTGACAAAAACCCTGCTGATGCCTACCAACAAAGGTTGAGGAATCCTATAGACGATCCCAGTTTGGTACCCCAGGTGACGGGTCCTATTTACGGTCACTGGCTACCTCTCTTGGTAGAGCGCCACCCCACCAGAGTGAACTCCTGCCCTCTTCGCCTTTGCCCCGGCAACGCCGAGCGGCGGCGTGGGGCACGGTGCCCGGCCACAGGCAGCCATTCAGGTCCGTCGGGACGCCGTGGGCGGTGGACCGGTCATGACGGTCACGCCTGGGAGGTGAGGATGGCCACATGGATGGACCAGTGGGAAGTCTACAACTATGACCATGACCAACGAACCAAACATGGAGCTGGGTGGTTTCTAGTCCCATCCAGTGGATAAGGGGGACCCCCTATCCTCCAATAGGCACCTCTTTGTGACACCGGGAGGAGGATTCTTTGATGGACAACTTTGAAATGAACAACTCCAATATTGAAACAACACAATCAATATCATGATATAATATCTATACATATACACTAGACGACAGGGTGGCCCGAAAGCAAGTAGGCGGAAGAGAACAAGTAGAAGGGAAGAAAAGCGAAGTAACAGAAGATGAATGAGCACTAAAGAAATGAAGAGATGATATATGATGATTCAAAACATTAAGATGAAACAAAATGAGATGATGATGAGATGACACAATATATAATAAATATATATATATCTATATATATATACATTATGATTATGATACTATTATCACGTTATTACCAAATCTATTAATGTATATTCTGTTGCACTGTACTTCGGAGCCCAAACGGTAGTCCCGGTCGATTCTTTTTTATCCAGCGCCGGTCGAGCTCAAACGCTAGTCCCGGTAGTAAGAGCCGCCGAAGTGTGCGAAATCGCACGTCCCAACCTGGCATCAGGACAACCAATGCTCATACAAATGCAACACTTGAAAAACAAAACAAATTACCCACAGTTCAACTCATGTTGTTTTGTCGGTTATCAGATATAGTTGCACACCCAGTCGGAACAGGATCGACTTCGAACAACTCTCGGTCGTGGATCTCGTGCCTTGTGGAGTCTCTGCACGTTCAGCTGGAACAAGGGTCGACTTCGGACAACTTCCGGTCGTGGACCCAGGTCCTTCTAATCAGTTTGGTCACGACACTTTGCAATAGCCAATTCACAGCTTTTCGCCGATACTTGTAACTTCGTGGCTGGTGACTATATGTGGCATCGACATGCCGGCCTCCTGGAATTCCATTGCGTGGTGTCCACTTTCATTTGGTCCCACTTGTTGCCGCTCAACCTGTTCAAAAGACTCAATGTCTCTGGAAACGAAACTGGTCTTTCAGGTCAAATCACAACAAGCAAAGAATATCATTCAAGTCCAACAATCGAACAAAAAAAAAGATGTCTATAGAGCTCTGTTTGCACAATTTTATCGGTTATCAGGTATATTCGCGCACCCAGTCGGAACAGGATCGACTTCGAACAACTCTCGGTCGTGGATCCCGTTCCTCATGGGGTCTCTGCACATTCAGTCGGAACAAGGGCCGACTTCGAACAACTTCCGGTCGTGGACCCAGGTCCTTCTAGCCAGTTTGGCCACGAATTCACAGCTTTTTGTCGACACTTTGGTCACGACGTTTCAAATTCCCAACGCCAGGCATGCTTGTGATGCTCCAAGGATCGCAGTGCATACAAGACATATGCTCGTCGCCTCCACGGTCTCAGGCTTGGACGCTGCTGGAGCACACAGTCAATGGCATCCTCGACACTGAGATCCCACCAGATCACCAGCCAGGCGCAAAGCGCGGCGGTACTGCGATTGATGCCTCCAAAGCAATGAAACAAAGGCGTAAACCTGATGTCGTGGTTCCAGTAGTAGGAGGCCACATCCCAAAGAACATGCATCAAATCTTTCCAGAAAGCTAAACATTCACCGGCAGACTGACGATGCTTCGCCAGCTCTGTATTTGGGTCTTTGACTGTGGGATCCTCGATGAACCACCAGATATGAGCGACGCCACAACGTTCAAAATAGGTGGGCAAATCTGACGGCGCGCCGCGCACCTGGATCTCGTTCCCACACAGGGTCACGACATGGGAGATCTTTGTCGTGTACTCCACCTCCACCGCTTCAATGTTGACAGCCGCTTGACACTACCGAGGAAGATGGCATCCCCTCCCAAGGTAATGCAGCTGGCATCCAGTGGCCAGGCAGTGATATCTCCAAAATTGTAGTCATGACTGTGTGTCTTCCAGTCCAGCGGCTTCCATGGCAGGCGAGAGTATGCCGTTTGAATTTTCCGTTCACATGCATTTACCCAGCTCCGAACCTCGGAATTCCACGGTAGGAGGTCTGTCATGACGCAAAGCAGGGAATGGACGATCTAATAATTCGTCTTCAAAGCTGCGGATAACTTGCAACCATGATGATGATGATGATGAAGGTGATGATGATGATGATGATGATGATGATAATGATGATGATGGTGCATGTCGCCAGGCAGGGTTTACACCACACGTTGTTTACGCCAGACGAAGTAACCATGGAAAAGTTTACACCAGACAAAGCCGACAAAGGTTTACACCAGAGAAGAGTTTACACCAGACATCGATTACACCAGACACCGTCTATACACCAGACACGGTTTACACCAGACGTCGTTTACACCAGACAAGGCCAACAAAGGTTTACACCAGAAAGAGTTTACAGCAGAGACAGTTTACACCAGACAGCGTTTACACCGGACACCGTTTACACCAGACAAAAAGGTCTTACCGCAGACGAGGTTTACACCAGACAAAACCGACAAAGGTTTACACCAGAAAGAGTTTACAGCAGAGACAGTTTACACCAGACAGCGTTTACACCAGACACCGTATACACCAGACGTCGTTTACACCAGACAAAGCCAACAAAGGTTTACACCAGAAAAAGTTTACACCATAGACAGTTTACACCAGACAGCGTTTACACCAGACACCGTTTACACCAGACATGGTTTACACCAGACATGGTGGAAACCATTGCAGCAGCAATTATAAGGCGATTAGCAACAAAAGATTGCAAAACACCACGTAACTACG